TAGAATACTCTTTCTTTTTTAATTTTGCTATTACATAAAATGTTTTATTTGAATTTATTTTTATTTTTTATTAGAACTTGGAACGAAATTTAAAAAATGTAGACCTAAGTAAATTAATATTATATAAGTATGCTGAAAATTTCCTCGATATCGGTTGAACGTTGTTATGAGCTGCAAGCAATCGAAGAATTTTAACACTTAAAAAAAGATTCAAGTCAATTAGACCAGTTTTAGAAAAGTTATTTTATTTTAAAAACTGGACGAATAGTTTTTGTCAGGGGTTGTATAAACCGCAATGTGATAACTAGACCGTGGATCTTCATGCAAAATAAAAATATTTATTATTATCTATTTTATATATTTATTTAAATAAAAATATTTATTTTTATTTAGGATTATTTTTAGAATATTTAAATATCCTGCAAGAAACAGAGATGAAATAATAATAAATTGTACCTTTTAATAATTCTTTTAGCTTGAAGATGGCGTGACAGTGTCATTAGGTTCTTCTTATCTCTTCAAATTTTTATATTTCGTCCACTCATTATTGCCATAATCGCGTAAAATCCAGGGCCAATCTAAATTCGTTTGTCTAAAAGATTTATTATAGAAATATCACTTCTGCAACCCTCTTGTATCGCGCAGACGCTAATAAATTTTTATTTAGTTAACAGAGAAATCGAAATTGTAATGAAGATTGGTCTAAAAAGTTGAATCAAAGAAATTGTTTCAGCCGCGCGCGACGCGTCGCGACAGTCAAAGTTGTATCGAGCGAACGAAAATGAAGGTTTCGCTATACACGCCGCGCACAGATATCCATCTGCATCGCCCACGATTTAATGACCCCACAATTTTTTCCGTCAATCTATTCACCTTCTGTTTCCATGGTTAAAACGTACGATTCTAATATGTGGGATGGATCCGCGATTAGACCTTCGAAAACGAAAGTGACGCGAGCAGGCGGAACGGCGCGACGACGCACGGCGGTCGATTGCTTCGAAAAATGGGACAAAAATCGTTCCAACGTGAAAAACTTGCTTTATCGACGGCAAACAAAATGACACGTAACTCGTTTATCTTCGTAAACGCATCATTTCTGTCAACTAATGTTGTCACACGACGTCGTTATTGAGACACGCTATCTTTATTGGTATGTACATGAGACTGAGTTATTTGAGGGTCTGACGTTATTGCAAAGCATAACATTGTTTATGGCTGTCATGATTAGCAAAATTTAAATAACATTCAATTATGTCAATTTTTTCAATTGTTAGTAAAAATGAATCAAACCACATTACAAAGTTATTAGAGGGTCTGATGTTATTGCAAAGCATAGCATTATCTATGACTCTCATGATTAGTAAAATTGAAATAACTTTTCAATTATTAGTAAAAATGAATCAAACTATATTACGAAGTTATTAGAGGGTCTGATGTTATATTGTAAAGTATAGCATTGTCTATAAATTTCATGATTATCAAAATTTAAATAACTTTCAATTATGTCAATTTTTTCAATTATTAGTAAAAATGAATCAAACCACATTACAAAGTTATTAGAGGGTCTGATGTTATTATAAAGCATAGTATTGCTTATAACTGTCGTGATTAGCAAAATTTAAATAACTTTCAATTATGTCAATTTTTTCAATTATTATTAAAAATGAATCAAACTACATTTCAAAGTTATTAGAAGACCTGATGTTATTGTAAAGCATAGCATTGACTATGACTGTCATGATTAGCAAAATTTAAATAACTTTCAATTATGTCAATTTTTTCAATTCTTAGTAAAAATGAATCAAACTACATTTCAAAATTATTAGAAGGTCTGACATTATTGCAAAGCACAACATTGACTGCCATGCTTTGACTGCTATGATTACCAAAATTGAAATAATTTTCAATTATTTGAATTATTTCAATTTTTTCAATTATTAGTAAAAATGAATCGAACCACATTAGTATACTCCTCATGCGATTTTTCCTTCATTTTCGTCCCGTTCTCTATGAAAATCATCCACCGCGCCGCTGTTCGATCGCAGCAAACGTTCTCACGGCGTTACGACACACCGAGCGAAGAATTACGAATCTGTTTCACCGCTGAAGTTCATCGACAGAGGGGAAAAGAGAGTCGTCGGAACTATTCCATAATTTATCGAATAATTTGAGCAGCATCTCGCTGCGTTATTCATAGACTCTCACGTTGTCGTTGATCCCGCTGCGAGTGGTGTCTCTCTGCTCCGCGTACGTGCGTATGCACATACAGGTTGTCGCAAAAATGTCTCGCAATCCGAAAGTGGCGGATTCCTTGGGTCATTCGAAGCAACTTTTTCCTTTGTAAACATTTTCTCCAAGGCACCGTTAACGAGTTATTAACGAAAAACAGTGACCAATGAGAGGCGAGCTCGGCTGGCGCGTGGCGACCGAGCCAATGAGCGGAACTGGGCTTCGCGCGCTAGTTGGCTGGGCAGCCTCGCATCAGCCGTACTCGATTCTTATTGGTCACTGTTTTTCGTTGATAACTCGTTAACGGTGCCTCAGAGAACATTTTTGTAAAGGAAGAAGCTGCTTCAAATGATCCGAGGAACCCGCCATTTCCGGATTGCGAGACATTTTTGGGACACCCTGTTGGACACGTGTTGCGGTTTAATTATTATTATTATATAGAAATTCGCTCGGTGCCAACTGAATGAGAGAGAGAGGCAACATTAATTCATTAACCCTGTAAACACGCCGTTGAAGACCGCCGTGCGCGCGCGCGTTTAATAAAAATCTACTACTCTGCAGCCTCGGGGCACGACTCGATCGTAATGGATAATTGAGCTTTATAAATAACCGCGGCTCTCTTTGAGCACGATAACGAAAGCAGAGGGAAGAAGAAAACGTTTCGGATTCGTTGCGCCATTCGACGGATGAAAATATTCTACCGTGCGGGCATTAATTTTCTCCTCGAATTAACTCGGTTTGGTAAATTGCTGTTAATACAACGGCGATCGATCATTTCACGTCTCGCGTAATTGCGGCCCGATTAAATTGTGTCTCTATTCAAACGGACTGTGTCGATCCACTTTCACTATCCCGGCCAGAGCGAAAGAGAGAGAGAGAGAGAGAGAGAGAGAGAGAGAGAGAGAGAGAGACCGATAGAGCGAGCGAGAGAGAGAGAGGGAGGCCGATAGAGCGAGAGAGAGAGAGAGAGAGAGAGAGAGAGGGAGTGGGAGAGAAAGGGAGACCGATAGAGCAAGCGAAAAGGAGAGAGAGAGAGAGAGAGAGAGAGATGGAGAGAGTGAGACCGATAGAGAGAGGGGGAACCCGGTTTTATACCGCAAAGATTACCGATGAGTTAACCGGCCGGAGTGTCCAGTTCGCGCGGGTAAACAAATACGTTTCCACGTGGACAAACCTGTCCATCAGACCGGGCAGGTAAATAACACGGACAATTGTGACCGGCGTATTTCATCGGATCCTTTCCGTTCGTAAACGACAACGTATATATATATATAATATCACCGAGGTTTTTACAATCCACGTGCGCGCGCGCGCGCGAGCGCAACAGGCATCGTTCTTATTCAGTAAAAGTTTTTTGTTTGCCGCGCGCGCTCGGTCGCCGGAGATATTAATCTGATTAGGATCTCGCGCCGGAGCACGCTCCGCGAAGTGTTACGTTCGAACGATTAGATGTGGAACAGAAATAGCGTGCTGAAATTTGTAATAGTACTTTTACATGTGAAACCGAGAGATCTGCAAATGGAACGGTAGTTGCGATAGTCGAGCTTATTTTATTGCGCCCGAGAAGGCCGTTCGAGCATTCGCGAACGATTTAAATGCTGGCGTCACCGAGAAATAATTATGACTTTATAACGAAACGATTGTAAATTTACAATTTTCCGTAAAATGTTAACGAATCATTGTCTCTCTTGTTTCTTTATATCGTTTAATATTTTTTGTCCTCTTCCCTTCGACTTCTTCCTTTGTACTTTTCTCATTTTCTTTTGAATGTACACACAATTCCTAGCATCAAGATATTCTCACTGTAGCACTTTACAAATTAGGTATAATTTGTAAAATTATATATATGTATTATAATATATTATGTGCTCGCGCCGGCTCACATCGAGAACCGCACTGTATAGGTTAGGGTACGCAGTTCGGTAAAGCGTCGCAGTAATGTACATACATAGTTAAAAATTATTGGCCAAATACTGTGTTAGTAAATGATGTTAGTAGCGATTACTTTATCTAAAAATAACGCCAAAATGAATAGCTCATTATAAAAATATTAAATTAAAAATATTAATTAAATATTATAATAATGAATAGCTCATTATTAAAATATAAATGTACCTTTCGCAGCTGTCACCGAAGATGCCCCTTGTTTCACAGCTGCCACTACCAGTATTTCATAAGCTTCCGAATATCAAAAGTATGTCATAAATTAACAATACTAAACATATAAAAAATTATGAGATTCCACTCCTAGAAGATTACGCGCCATAAAATGTTAGATTTGATTACTTTTATAAAATGCCACTGTACATTTGGGGCGTCCAGAGTAATACCCACACTCGCAACTAGGTGACACTAGGTGCGCTAGGTTAACCGTAAACCTAAAATAATTTTTCTGACTTATAGTATTTCCATTTTATATGACAAAATATGCATTTTATGCATATGAAATTGAGTCTTGTGGTGACTCGTCAACAGTTACACCTTTAACAATTTCTTAAATGTAAACTTTGTTAATATAAAAATTATCTTGGAATATGATATAACAATTTTAGTGGTGCCTCAGAGTCACCACTCGAGTGCAAAGGGTTAACATTTAGAAAATAAAGAAACGTCGATTGTACACCGAATGGCTGGGGTGTCGATCGCGTCACGTGACCGTTTCGAGGTTAACAACGCCCTCTTAATTTCGTTCGAGGATTACGGATAACCGTTCGAATCAGCTTTATATCACGAAAAACAGGTTAAAAGCTATGCTCTATTTCGATGTACAGGCGACAAGTGGTTGGTGTCCTGCTTGGGCGTTCTCCACCTGAGCAAAGGACTGTTCTACCGGGTCGTGCCAGCTGACCAAGGGTTCGGCAGCACCGGGGAGCCGTCAGGATCGCCGACCGCCGAATACGCAGGCGTGTTCCGATTCCGATTATGGTGGTGCGGCGCGTGGGTCGAAGTTCTCGTCGACGACAGGCTGCCGGCGATTCACGGCCGGCTGGCTTTCGTGCAGAGTCGTCACAGCGATCAATTCTGGCCGGCTCTTCTGGAGAAAGCGTACGCCAAGTGAGTACATACATACATACATACGTATCTATCTATCTATCTCGGTACAACTGCTCTTATTTGTCAGTCACGCGACCGCCTCTCGCCTATGAGACCATTTTCCACTTCTTCTTCTTCTTCTTCTTTTTTCCCCCCTCGCCATACTCGCCGGCTGGTATTTACCCGACGATGGGAATCGGTCACGGGAAAAGCTGTTGGCTCGGTCACGGTAAAAGTAAGCCACGAAAACTCCGTAGCCGCGATGATTTTAACGAACGGATACGCGATGCGCCGACGAACTTTTTTTAGCGGCATCGATTAACGTTATTGCCGCGCAGGTGATGTTGACATTTGTTGTTGCAGAATGATAACTATATATATATATAATTATTATATTATTATTATATATAATTTGAACGTAATGAACTTCAGTGATTTCCTCGCGGATTACAAGTGAGCCCATCTCCTTATATTGATGAAATAAAACAAGAAAATAAAATACAATAAAATAAAGTAAAGTAAGATAAAATACAATAAAAATACAGTAAATTCAATTCGATTGAATTAAACTCAAATAAAATACAGTAAAATAAAGTAAAATAAAATAGAATAGAATAAAATACAGTAAATTCAATTCGATTGAATTAAACTCAAATAAAATACAGTAAAATAAAGTAAAATTAAATAGAATAGAATAAAATACAGTAAATTCAATTCGATTGAATTGAACTCAAATAAAATACAATAATTGTATATACAATGAATAAATTGACATTGTCCAAAAGTAGTAACGAATCTTTTTAGATTTGTTATTAAATTCATACAAATCGAATATCATTATAATATCTTACTTGATTCCAAAGGTATACTATATAGCGTAAAGGTTATGTAAGGTTATTAAGTGCACGTTTTTGCGATAAAGTGGTGCCAAGTAGCTGGTGGGTAACGTTCGTGATGGCGCGGAGTGCAAAGGGTTAAGCGAGTTTACCACTCAAGTATCGATCAAGGTTTGTTTGACAACACGCGTACACATCCAATGGAGATTATGACGCGAAGAAACGCGAGTTCGTTCGCCGATGAGCGACCAATTAACCGCGGCATCTAACGCGCAGGATTCCGCGTGGGCGTGGAGAAGGCGATCGCGAACGCGGTTCATCGATCGATCTCGGTGGTAAGGTCGATCTTCGTGCCAGCGCACCATGAACGTCCACCTGGCGAACGCCTACGCCACCCACTGGATCTTACAAGACCGACCGAGATGGTTTCAAAGTTATTCAGATATTCGCGTCGACTCGTCCCACGATCCTCCGGATCACGTAACAAATTCAAAGCTCTTCCACGATTCCATGTTTCAACGTTTCCTCGCGCGCACTGTGGAAGCTGTAAAACGCCGTGTTTGGGCCCTAGAAGAGTACGCGCGCGCGCGCGCGGTGCTAACGAAGTCGGCAAACCGAGGCTCTGCGGGATGCAATTTTGAAATCTCTGACAGAATTACTAGAATTGACCGTTTTCTGTATGAAATGCATCGCTACTTTACGATATTCCAAACACCGATTCTGTCTGCATGGCGTCGCATCGTGTACGGGATGCTTCATGGGAAGTTGCAGAAACTGAACGGTGAACCTTTTTATGTGCATAGAGTTGGAGAAAATAAGTTGATCTGTAATGTTTTAATGGATATTGAAAGGAACGTAGCAAGTAATAAATATGTATAATGACAGATTCGTTTGTAACAGATGATATAAAACCAAGTAGCAACTTTATTCTTTTTTTTAATGGTTTTAATAGATTAACAGTATCCAAATGTTCTGTTATTTATATTATATTATTATATTATGTTACATTACATTATATTACATTACATTACATTTACATTACATTTACATTACATTTACATTACATTTACATTACATTTACATTACATTTACATTACATTTACATTACATTACATTTACATCGCATTTACATCGCATTTACATCGCATTTACATCGCATTTACATCGCATTTACATCGCATTTACATCGCATTTACATCTCATTTACATCTCATTTACATCTCATTTACATCGCATTTACATCGCATTTACATCGCATTTACATCGCATTTACATCTCATTTACATCTCATTTACATCTCATTTACATCGCATTTACATCGCATTTACATCGCATTTACATCTGTCTCTTATACACATCTAGATGTGTATAAGAGACAGATATTATATTATATTATATTATTATCATATTATATTATATTATATTATTATCATATTATATTATATTATATTATTATCATATTATATTATATTATATTATTATCATATTATATTATATTATATTATTATCATATTATATTATATTATATTATTATCATATTATATTATATTATATTATTATCATATTATATTATATTATATTATTATCATATTATATTATATTATATTATTATCATATTATATTATATTATATTATTATCATATTATATTATATTATATTATTATCATATTATATTATATTATATTATTATCATATTATATTATATTATATTATTATCATATTATATTATATTATATTATTATCATATTATATTATATTATATTATTATCATATTATATTATATTATATTATTATCATATTATATTATATTATATTATTATCATATTATATTATATTATATTATTATCATATTATATTATATTATATTATTATCATATTATATTATATTATATTATTATCATATTATATTATATTATATTATTATCATATTATATTATATTATATTATTATCATATTATATTATATTATATTATTATCATATTATATTATATTATATTATTATCATATTATATTATATTATATTATTATCATATTATATTATATTATATTATTATCATATTATATTATATTATATTATTATCATATTATATTATATTATATTATTATCATATTATATTATATTATATTATTATCATATTATATTATATTATATTATTATCATATTATATTATATTATATTATTATCATATTATATTATATTATATTATTATCATATTATATTATATTATATTATTATCATATTATATTATATTATATTATTATCATATTATATTATATTATATTATTATCATATTATATTATATTATATTATTATCATATTATATTATATTATATTATTATCATATTATATTATATTATATTATTATCATATTATATTATATTATATTATTATCATATTATATTATATTATATTATTATCATATTATATTATATTATATTATTATCATATTATATTATATTATATTATTATCATATTATATTATATTATATTATTATCATATTATATTATATTATATTATTATCATATTATATTATATTATATTATTATCATATTATATTATATTATATTATTATCATATTATATTATATTATATTATTATCATATTATATTATATTATATTATTATCATATTATATTATATTATATTATTATCATATTATATTATATTATATCTGTCTCTTATACACATCTAGATGTGTATAAGAGACAGATATTATATTATTATTATACAATGTTAGATTTTATTCCTCCTATAAAATACCACAGTATTTGGTACGTCCGCAGTAATACCCGCACTTACCCTAAAGTTCCTTTTTCTTCGAAGAAGTTATTCCGACCGAAGAAATTCCGATCGTCGTAATTGCAAAGAAACTGGCACTGCCAGGGGGTTAAGAACGAAGAAGCGCAAAAATCAACCATGCGAAAGCAACCATAACGCAGGGATCGGTAGAAAGAAACGGCTCGACGCACGACGGGTAGAAATGATTCCCGTAGGAGTTTAGACATACATACATACATACATATGTACATATTTCCGTCCCGAACTGCGTTTCCGTGCACCGACCTCGCACTTTCCTGCTTGCGTAACTCTCGATTACCGAAGACATCGTTCGTAAATCGTTTCAACGGACATTGCCGGCCCGCGAAAGAAGCGGAGGGCATTAACCGCACGTGGCTATGGAACCGGTGTCCCCCGGGTTCGTCGTTTATTTTAACAACGTCGGTGGACGTCGGCTGCACGGCCCAGAGGAGCACCTAATGAAAACATAGACGCGGTAACGGTGGCCAGATATCATCGGTAACGAAGCGGCGTGTAATCGAGCGGTTCGCGATCGCGGTAAATTAGCCGGAACGTCATATCGGAGGTACAAGAACGATATCTGCGCTAGCCGGTGGATCACGGTGGATCATTCGCGGTGAATTCTTCGCTGGATTCACGCTGCGTCGCGTAAATTCTTAGGCGCGTAGATCCTTAGGCGATTAGATCTCTAGGCGCATAGACCCCTAGGCGCGTAGATCTCTAGGCGCATAGATCTCTAGATGCGTAGATCCTTAGGCGCATAGATCTCTAGGCGCGTAGATTCCTAGACGCGTAGTTCCTTAGACGCATAGATCTCTAGGCGCGTAGATCCCTAGGCGCATAGATCTCTAGGTGCATTGATCTCTAGGCGCGTAGATCACTAGGCGCATAGATCTCTAGGCGCGTAGATCCCTAGACGCGTAGATCCTTAGACGCTTAGATCTCTAGGCGCGTAGATCCTTAGGCGCATAGAGCCCTAGACGCGTAGATCCTTAGACACATAGATCTCTAGGCGCGTGGATCTATAGACGCATAGATCCCTAGGCGCGTAGATATCTAAGTGCGTAGATCCTTGGGCCCATAGATCCTTGGGCCCATAGATCCTTGGGCCCATAGATCCTTAGGCTCGTAGATCCTTAGGCACGTAGATCATTTGGCGCTTAGATCCTTAGCTGCATAGATCCTTAGCCGCGTAGATCCCTAGGCGCATAGATCCTTTGGCGCTTAGATCCTTAGGCGCGCGAGTAATGATTCCGCGAGAGAGTGAGAGGGAGAGGGAGAGAGATCTTCCCCGTGGCGTAGGACGCGTTTACGCGGATGAACGAACCACGATGACCGGTTCTGCCGGAGGTCCTTGCTCCTCCTCTTAATCTTTCCGCTGATGA